CTGAACGTGGGTTGCTCAGAGGGCTCCTTTAGTACTGGGCTTGGGGTGGGGGTGGGGGGCAGGGGTGGATTTTATGCAGTGAGAACTAGGGGGTTTAGGAAGGATTCTGCTCCAGGAAGGCATAGGACAAGCACTGTGAAAGACTGTAAGTTGGAGACATGTTAGATCACAAGGGGGCATCCCTAGTAGTTCAGACTGTAAAGAATCTGCCTGCAATTCAGAAGACCTGGGTTTGATCCCTGGGCCAGGAAGATCTCCTGGAAAAGGGAATGGCTACCCACTACTCTAGTATTGTTGCCTGGAGAATACCATGGACAGAGGAGCCTAGCCGTCCTCAGCATTGCAGAGTCAGATACAACTGAGCAACTAACACTAGATTACAAGATGTATCTCCAAACTCCCCTGGGGAGGAACTTGCTTTAGTAGAAAGAAGACTCTGTTGACTTGAATTTGCAAATCAGGCCACATTGAGGACACGTCGTGGCCCTGACCACTGGTTCAGACCAGTTTTGCCAAGTAGAGAAGACAGCCCAGGGCCGCGCGTCAGAGGCAGCTGCCGCTCTTGTCCACCAGGTGGCGCTGTTGCACAGCGCATGGGGGCCGCCGAGGCCCGACCGAGCTGAGCCTGCCCTACTGCCGCGCGCACGACTGAGGCTGCCCTCTTCAAGCTCAGGTTTGGGGTGCGGTGCAGACCCGGGGCCAGCAGGGCCTTCTTCTGTCTGGACAATACTGGCCCCTACCTAATCTCTGAGTGAATCTCAAAGGGACAGGGAGGGGGAGCAGGGCAGACTCCCTATTTTATCCCGTCCCCACATCCTTGGGGTTTCCCAGATGGCTCAGATGCTTCCCTGATGGCTGCCTGCAGTGCAGAGACCCAGGTTCAGGCCCTGGGTTGGGAAAATTCCCTGCAGAAAGAAATGGCAACCCACTCCAGTATTCTTGCCTGGAAAATTCCATGGACGGAGAAGCCTGGCAGGCTACAGTCCATGGGGTCGCAAAGAGTCAGACATGACACTGCCTCTGCCAGTGTCTTTATGCATTGCAGCCTCAACTTTCCCTTCTGTAAAATGGGCATAACCATCTCTGTGTGCCTTTCCTGTAAAATGACTGTGTGGATCAAATGAGCAAAAGGATGAGAAAAACTGGTTAATTTTTTTTAGATGTGACTTATTTTCTAACCATCTGCAGCCCTACAAAAAGCAGGCAGTGGAAGGAAGCTCCTGTAAGATGGCAGCTGGAGAGACAGAGCCTCCCCACCCAGTTCCCTCCTGCCCAGGGTTTCTGGGTAAGGGCCTCCCTGTCTCCAGCCTGGCCCTTCAGATGTCAGGGCATCTCAATCCCAAGAAGCTGCCCCAGGAAACGGAGTGAGGGAGCTGCGTGGAGACGGGCAGCAGTGTCCCCATCCCTCATCACTGATGCTTCTCTTCTTAGACTTGAAGTTGAGCCCTCCTTCCCTCCCCACTGTTCATCTTTAATTTCTCCATCGATTTTCATTAAACTCTCTTCTTGGCTCCAACACAGGATGAACTCCGTATTTGAAAAAATGAAATAAGAGGGAGGGGGGAATAAAAGAAATCTCTTTCGAAAGTAAGATTGTCTCTGGTATCACGGCTGGAAGAGGCAATTACCAGAACTCTCATGGAGGTTGTCTCAGGCCATTTGAGCACTGGGCTTGGAGAGACCCCTATGGCCCGAGACTCTAGGTTCCTGCCCCACAGCCCCAGCCCCTCATCTGGACCCCAGGCCCCAGCCTGGCTCTAGTCCCCACCCACCTCCAACCCCATCTTGGTCCCTAGCCCTGTCCAACCCCAGCCTCTGCACCAGCGGTGCCCTGACCATCTCATTAGCCAATCAGAACACTGGAAATCTGCCAGGGTCACTGTAAAACCCCAGGACTCAGGATTCCTGGGGGTGTTGCAGGGTTTCCCCAGACTAACCCAAAAAGGTGAAGACAAACAGGCCAGGAAAGAAGGAAGGGACACAGACAAAGGCGAGTTCTGCCTCCACGCAGGCCCCACTCACACTGCTGCATCACCTCACCATGGCAACCCCATAAAGAGGAAACAGATTCAGAGAGGAGTCGCTTGCTCTCTAGCCCCCTTGCAGCCTCCCCACAGACTGGCAGTCCTCCCCTTGGTGACGCCAGTCCACCGTCCCAGCTCTAGTCCTCCCCAAGGCTGCCCTGGCCAGTCCAGGTGGGTTGGGTCACCCGATAACCAGACGGAGTTGGGTCCATCTGCTCTCACCGGACCATGTGGCCTTGGGGCCCTCACTCTCTCTTTGGCCCTCATTTTTCTTCATCCCATCTTCTCCAAAGTGAGTCCCAGAGAACGCTGCCTTCTCTTCTGGGCGCCCCCAATTCACTGAGCTCCTAAAAGGCTCAGAGCCCCACTGGCCTAGCTGCAGATTCCCTCTGCTGAGGCCACTTTCGGGGCTCCGCCTTGGTCCTCTGGGCCAGCTCCACCGCCTCCTGCCGCTGCCATCACCAGCCCCCCAGACACAGGTGAAGCCACTGGCCTGTGGCTTCCGATGGCCATGGGGCCGCCCTGTGGCCAACCCAGGTGGGAGGCAGGGAACAGTTCCTTGTCTCTCCCCCCAGAGCCCGGCACAGGGACTGGGGAGTGAGGGGTGACTGCTGAGGGCACACGGGAGGGAGGACAGACTTCCCGAAACCCGCTGCCCCAGGGCGAACAGGATGAACCTTCAGACCCTTCAGACACCTCTGGAGAGGACTTCGGTGTGTCTTGACATCTTGCGGCTCCACACCTGCTCAGGAATCCCCATGCCTGCCCCCTTTTCCAGACCAATACCCAGAGCCTGGTTCCCTGGGAGCCACTGCTCTGAGGTGCCAACCTCAAAAGGGCCAGCTCTTCCCAGGGTCACAGAGTATAAAGAACTGGGCTTTGGAAACCAGCCAGGCTTTGAATCCAAACTCCACATTCATGAGTTGAGTCTCAGTTTCCTCCCCTGTAAAATGGAGAGGTTGTGGGAACTTGTGTTCCGCACTTCTGCTCACTATGCACGGGGCAGCATCTTTGGCCTTGCTAACCCTTCCTGCTGACAGGCCAGCCCTCCCTTCTCCACCAAACCATCATCTCCCTGAGGCCACTGATGTCCAAAACCCCAGCAACTGGAATTACCTGCACCACAATCATAACAGCTACCATTTATTCAGTGCCTAGTGGGAGCCAGGAACCACACTGCTGTGCATGTATTCATCTCTGATGGCCCTGGGAGGTAGAGTTCATCGTGCACATTTGATAGATGAAAAAACTGCACCTCTGAGAAGTTAAATAACTTGCCCAGGGAAATGTGTCCAAGTTCGTAGGTGGACAAGCCTGGATTCACATCCAGAAGAGCCCGACTCTCAGAGGCCACAGTTTCCCCAGCAGGCTGGACAGTTCACAACAAACGTGTGATGACAGAATGAGTTAGTAGCAGGATGAGATGGTGATGGACTGAGTGGGCGAGCAAGGAAGCAAGTGACTTGAAAGTAAGTGAACGGCTGGATGACAGAGAAAGAAGCAGCAGATGATTAAGTGAGTCTATGGCCATGTGAATGCCTCAAGCCCGACAGAGCTTGAGCATCACACAGCAGGGCTGAGGATGGATGGGGCGCCTGGTGACCTGATAGACTCACACTCTGCCAGGGTCTGCATGACTTAATGAACCGCTCCAAGGTGGTGGGCAGGGGAGGGGGTAGGTAGCTGCAGACAAAGAAGGATTTCACCAAATTTAGTGCGTTTCTTGTGGCAATTAATTACAGGAGCCTCGGGGAGGAGGTGAGGCCAGTAAATCAGGGGAGGCTGAGGCTGTGACATTACCTAAGGAAGGTATGAGCTGTGCCTGGTGAGTGGGCAGTGGGCAAGAGCCCACGGGCACCTGCTGTCCACTTATGCCTCCACCCAGCCTGTTGTGCTGTGGCTTCTGTGATCCAGCCCATCCCCAGACTTCTTTACCTTCCACCCTAAACATGGACAGTGGCGACCTCACCGGAGTGTTTGAGGCCAGCACTCAGCACCCAGATCACAGACTGTGAGCGGGACCTGGGGGAGAAGCAGGTGACCCAGGACCCCCTGGGCATCTCTAGAATGTCTCACAGCTTTGGAAACAGTGTGATGTGGAGCAAAGGAGCACGGACCTTGGCCTCACGCACTGGAGCTGAGTCCTGGATGGGCACAGTGGTTCGCAACCCAGTCTGGCTCCAGCTCATCTCATCAGTTCACGTTCAGTCGCTCAGTCATGTCCAACTCTTTGTGATCCTGGATCAAATGACCACCAGGCAACCTATTAGCTGTGTGCCCTTGAGCAAGTTGCTTCACTTCTCTGAGTCTTCCTTCCTTCTACAAATGACATGGATGATAACAGCACTGATGGGTTACTGATTAAGTGACACCATGAAAGGAATGGTCTGGCCAGTGCTTGCATAAAACAAGTACTCAATAAATGTTAACTACTGTGTTTTTCTGGAGAAGGAAATGACAACCCACTCCAGTACCCTTGCCTGGGAAATCCCATGGACGAAGGAGCCTGGTAGGCTACAGTCCATGAGGTTGCAAAGAGTTGGACATGACTGAGCAACTTCACTTTCGCTTTCACTGTCTTTTTAGCCATGGCCATGATGTCCTTAGATAGGTTAGGGGTGGATAAACATTTTCTGTAGAGGGCCAGGTGGTAAATATTTTTGACTGCATGTTCTCTTGCAATTATCCAATTATGCTGTTGTAGGGAAACCAGACATTTATAACACCTAAATGAAGGAGCCTGGCAGTGTTCCATTAAAACTTTATGGATCAAAAATTTGAACTTCACACAATTTTCACATGACATCAAATGTTATTCCTCTCATATTTTTATTATCATTTAAAAATGACTTAACTCATGGACTGTACATGCCAAAAACAACAGGCTGACTTTGGCCCACAGGTTGTAACTTGCCACCCCATGAACTAGAGCACAAACTCTAAGAGGACCAGGGTGGTTGTCTGTTTTGTTCACTGCTATGCTCCCAACACATAAAACAGTGCCTGGCAAACAGCAGACAGTTGATAAAAGTTTGCTGAATGAATGAATGATGAGCTGTGTGATTCTGTGCACTTCATAACGCCGGGCCTTGGTTTCTTTATCTGTGTAATAGGTATGCTTGCACGTTCAAGGTAAGCATCAAATGAAGTTAAGCTGTCCATGGAGACACTTGGCAAGCTGGGACTGCAGAGCTGTAATTGCAGGTTCTGACCACAAGGGGGCTCCTTTCTGACACGCCTCCGTCCTGCCCACTGCCTGGCACAGCATTGTTTCACAAGTATCTGTGTATGGAAAGGAATCTGAGCTGGAGGAGGAGGAAGCCCAGAGAGGGTGACTTTCTCCTGTGCAAGTTAGGGGAGGGGGAAGACTAGGACACTGGCCAGAAACAGCAAGGTGGCCTGGCTTTAGCTAAAGGAATTTTTTTTTTGGGGGGGGGGGGTGTTCTGAGAGTATCTATTAAACCAGTGAGTCACTGATACTGACTGAGCATTAGGGAAGCAGACAGGATCCAAATCCTAGCTCCAAAACTCACTACGTGATTTTAGGTGAGTCACTTATACTGGCTGAGACACAGTTCCTTGTCTTTAAGATGAAGATAGGAAGAGCGTTCACCTCAGGAGGCCCCGGAACCTTAATGAAGAGCTGCATGTAAGGGGCGAGGGCAGAACTGGCTGCCCAGTGATCCCGCAGGCACTCAACACTCCCCCCATCCTCTTGCTTGGTGGGTTGGGGTCCGACTCCCAGGCCAGAGGCCCATCTGGTCTGGGAAAGACACGTTTTCGCTTTCTGGCTTGGGAACCGCACAGGAAGGCGGAAGGAAAGACTGCCCCCAGCCTTCCTAGCGGCACACGTTTCACTCTAAACAGAAAAGTTCTGCTGTTTTTCTTTCCTGGATGGAAGTTTTCCTGCTGCTCTGCAAACTCATAAGCCAAGAAATCCACTGCTTTTGGAGGACTGGCGAGTCCAGTCCCTTCTGCTTTCTTCCCTTCCTCTTTCTGCCAACCAGCATGAAAGAAGATGAGAAACAAACCCATCTGGCCATTTTCCACTCTCTAAGGAGGAAGATTTTATGGGAGAAGAGATTATTCAGCACATGAAGCTGGACATGCTCAATGCATTTTCTTTACAGAGTCTGTCTGGCCACTGCCTCTGCTCCTTTTTGCCACCTAAGCAAGCACACAAATACAAAAGCTTCTGAACCCACGGGAAGGAAACACTCTGTCCAGAGGGCTGGCCTTCGCTCCTTCACCACTTTGCTGTGTGACCCCAGACAAATGACTTGCCCATTCTGAGTCACAGCCTTCTCATCTGTAAAATGAGTAGATTGCCCATGAACACTCCATCTTCAGCTAAAAGCACCCCAGAGCCCATGACCCTGTGACCCTGTCCCATTATCTGAGCCAATTTGGAAAGAGGCAGGGTAGAATGTAAAACAACCATCAGTCTAGGAGTCCACACAGTGAAAAAGCTGAGGGGAGGGTGGCGGTTTCCTGGGCAGCCAGGACCAGACTGCGAGCAGGGATGCAGTGGAAGGGAAGCAGTTTCCTTGCCCCATCCCCATTTAGACCAAGCTACGAGACCAGGCTCAAGGTACCTACCCCCAACCCTGCAGATATGGCAACTGTCACCAGAACATACCACGACTTTCCACCTCTCTTCCATAAAAATAATTTCAACATCTTTCCTTGAAACATGATTGAAAAATCCCCAAGTGTCAGCCGTAGCCTCCCAACCCTCCTGCTAAAATCCCTGAGGAGCCATGTGCAGGCTTGGACCCACTCGGACCAAGAGGGAGAAGCAGACTCAGCCCTACCACCTGGGGGCGTGAGGGTGGGGAGGCGGGTGGCTGGAACCTGTTACGTTGCCCTAGGTTGGCCTGGTAACTGGGACTGCCAGGTCACCCCATATCTCCAACCCCAGACACCCCAGCTGTGGTGACCCACCATGCCCTTGGACTCAAGTGTCCTTTTCCCTTACCCTAGCCCTCTTGGGGGGACACCCACCTGCCTGCCCAGGCATCCACGCACACCCTGCTCCTGCCTATCCTGTCCCCCAAGAAACTGGATCCTCTTCTCTTCATTCCAGGGACCTGCCACGAGGGAAGGACCAACCGCCCTCAACCTCGACAGCCCTCCCCATCTGACTTGCCTGCCCCCTGCGGTGTTCCACCCCTGGGCCCTGCACCCAGGAAGTGCCGACTGTCCCTCTGGGCCCTGCCTTCTCCCACCGAGCTCCTCAGCCTCTGCGCCCTTCACGTCTTCATCAACCCCAGCAGCCCCACCTGAATGATGCTGGGCAAAGGAGGGACTCAGGGGACTTGCTCCAGGAAGAGGTCCAGATGTCCACCAAGAGGTCACTTTCCCTAGCCATCCGCCCCCTCGGGAACCTCAGTCCCCATGCAGCCAGCCAGCTGCACTCTTACCTTCTCCAGCTGGTGGACCCCCTCCTCCACGCAGCAGATGGAGGCCAGCGTGCGGAGCGCCTGGGGGTAGAGGCATCGGAAAGTGTCCTGCCGGCAGATCTTGAACAGTGCGACGACCCCACCCTCCTGGCAAGGAAAAGAAAATGTCACATGATCTCACTGTGTCACCTCTCCTGGGGCTAACACCCCCTCACTCAGCTGGTACATTTTGGGGTCTGTAGGGCGGCACAACAGCCACCCCCAAATATGCCATTTTAGTCTAAGGATTGTCTGGAGCTGAAGGCAATTAAGAAGAAACAGATAAAAAAAAAAAGATATCCATCCTCCCCCTATTTGACTAAAAGCAGGACATAAATTTAAAAAGATCATTCTCCCTTTCCTCTCTACTAAGAAGGACAAGAGTTAATCACTGGAGACAACTTTAGACCCTTATCAGCCTGGATTCAGCACCAAAAGAAACTCATATAGCCAACTTCCATCTTTAGCTACTATTAGTTTGCCATATACGTGTCTTCCCACAGTTTGCCACCCCTAAAGACTCAAGAGGGCTTCCTTTGTGGCTCAGATGGTAAAGAATCTGCCTGCAATACAGGAGACCTGGGTTTGATCCCTGCGTAGGGAAGATCCCCTGGAGAAGGAAATGGCAACCCACTCCAGTATTCTTGCCTGGAGAATTCCATGGACAGAGGAGCCTGGTGGGCTATACATGTCCAAAGAGTTGGACATGACTGAGCGACTAACACTTTCACTTTCAGAGACTCAAGGTTCTCTTCCTTTGTCTTATTACATCTCTAAAAATGTATTGTTCCTTTGCTAAGATGCTGCAGAAGCCCAAGTTGTAACCAACCCTTTGAGTTACTCACCTCTGACAGTTCCCATGGGTAAGTGCAGGCCACATGCTAATAAACTAATTTTCTTTTGTTAATCTGTCTTTTGTCAGCTTAATTTACAGGGCCCCAGCCAGAGAATCTAGGAAGGTAGTAGGAGCAAAGAATCCCCCGCCCCCTCGGCCCTCGCCACACCACCCCCCCCAGATCCTACACACACACACACACACACACACACACACACACACTCACATGTTCCCAAGCTCCCACACATGCTGCAGTGAAATGCCAGCTCCAGAAATAATGTCACCCTTGGTAATCTAAACTGGAAGTGAGGGGCCAGGGGAGGCACCTGTGCTGGGACCAGGCCCAACCCCAGTTAACATCGCTCCAGACGCCTGGCAACACCCTCCCAGCAGCCGCCTGGGAACGAGCCTAGAGCTGTCAGAAATAAGTTCTAGAAACAAGCCTGAGGCAGATGGAGAGAACTGAAACCGAGATGCCTCGTGCTGGTTCTCACTATGCCAGCGACCACCTGTTACTTCTCAGATCCTCCCAGCCACCATGGCAGGAACACAAAAAGGGGCTTTATTTACATCAATACTGTAATTTCTTTCCATTTGGGGGATGGGAAAAATGGAAGTCCAGATGGGTGAAATAATCACACCTCCCTCCCTAATCCACATTGGTCCTGTTTTTACTCCTTAACTCCAGTTTGTAAAAGGGAAAAAAAAATATATAAAAACCCTTTAGAAATGATCAGCCCAGCTCTTGAGTGTGAACCTGTATTTTTCTCTTTGTGAGAGCAGTTTATGGAAACTCCCTCACCTTGTGGCGACTTCCCAGGAGTCTGGGAGGATTCTGAGAAGAGGCTGGGAGTGAGGTGCTCCTTCTAACTGGACAGATTAATTCAATAGAAATCACCGAAGCCACCTTGGCTCCCAGAGCAAAGTGAAATCACAACGATGACTTACCATGTGCCCAGTAAACTGGTGGCAACCCCATTCTGGACGTCCACGTCCAGAGCAGAGGAAGCCGGCCGCCCCACATCGGGCTTCACCCTGCGTCCCCGGGCTGCGGGGGTGCCAGTAGCAGGAAAGAATACGTGAACAAGTGGTCTGCACCTGGTCCTGAGGGGCACTTGCCTTTAACCGCACCACTCCTGGCTCTAACTGAGCCCATAACCCTGTTTCCTAAACTGAGAAAGACGTTACAGGAAGAAGGAGGTGGGGTCAGCAAAACTGCCATCCCATCAGATTTTTGAGAACTCTCTCCACCAAAACTATACTATGCACCAAGCACTGCTGTGTGTCCTGGGGACGCAGTAGGGAGGAACTGAAAGCATAGCGTATGAGCAACCAGAAGAAGCAGCAATGACCACTGCAGCCCAGCACAGCCTCACTGAAATGAGTCACCCCAGACCTCCCCTTCCTAGAACCCAACAAAGATAAGCTCAAAGCCCTTTGCAGTCTGAGAGTTTGGCAGCTTATCACAGCAGGGACCAAGACGAAAGTGTCCAATTCTGGAGGAGTTCAGGATTTCTGACATTTTATAATTAGCCAAGAGTGATCTTCAACTTCTATATTCCTACTTCCTTTTAGGATAGTTTATTTGGTGGGAAAAGGTCATATCTTAGGACGGGTAACTTTGTTCACGCAGCACAAAAATATTAATGGTTTATTATATGCCAGACCCTGTGCTGGGCACTGCCTCAGTCTCCATCCATAATGAGCTCATGGCCTGGCAGACAATGCTAAAAGCAGGAAGAAATCTGGGTAGGGATGCACTGAAATGAGGATGGGGTACAGGGTTAAAAGAGCACAGAGCAAGAACTCCTGACATAATCGAGGGGGGATGGCTGTAGAAGGGTCAAAGAAAAGCACTCTGATTTTAAAGCCACATCATCATTTCACTAAATGTATGCTCTAGTATGGGACAAGACACTCACCCCTCTGATTTCTTGCTCCACAATCCTTTATCCCTGCCTGCCTACCTTCCCATGGTTCCTGGGACATCTGATAAGGGTTCCACACAAAGACCTTACTCAAAGAGTCACTGACATAAAATCAAATTACTCTTTAAAGTGAGAACTGAAAACAAGAATCCCAAGGTCTCCCTAGCCTGCCTTGCTGGCCATTAATGATCTTCCACCAGATGTAAATATCTGTATACATATACGTTTACATGTGTATGCATATTTATATATTTATATTTAATCACAGATAGCATGGATATTATTTATATATGTACAAAGATAGATCGATAAAGTGATAGATATTTGCTTCTGGAGCAGACCGTGAAGAAATGATGCCAAAGCATGAGAAGCTGAGGGCCAGGATCAACGTGGCAGCCTTCCTTTGGCTCGGGAGATGCCAGCTCCGGCATAACTATATTTAAGCCTCTGCACCCATTTGCATTGGATTCTCCTTACATCTTTTCCCAAGCCTGTGAAAAATGGTCTTCTTAGCATTTTTCGCTACTAGGAGAGGAAGAGGGAAATCCCGAACCCAGACTGAGGGGATTCTGGTTCAAATCCTACTTCTGCTGCTGGGTATCTTTGGTTTAAAATGCGGTGGGGACAAGCGCATACTCAGCTGTCAGAGGTGAAGCAAGTTGAGGTTGGGAAAGGGCTGAGCACACAGCGAGGGTGGGCCTGGACAGCCACGCAGGGGTCAGGCCGTGGAAGGCACCCCGGTTAGAAGCGTGACTGATATCCTCAGGAAAGGTGTCCCAAAGGCTGGCGTGCATGCCAGGGAGAAGAGGTAGGACGTGAGATGGAGTTGTTGTGGGGACCACTCTGGAGCCCCCACCCACCAAGGACTGAAAAGCAGCATTCGGCTTCGAGTAGGACTGGGAGTCGTCTGAGCTTGCAGAATTGCACTGTTGGCTGGAGCTTGTTTAATTTTATAGAAAGCTCTGGGCTCAGAGCCCAGCTGTATAATGGCATGCATTATTCAGACAGGCTCAGGATAAACTGTCATAAAGCCGGAGGAGGCCACTTGTAGGGTGTGTAGACTAGTGGAGGGAGAATAATAGAGGAGTTGGGCTGGGGGGGGCTGGTAATTTGACAACACACAGGGGAGTCTTCTGGGCTCTGCACTCAGGAAGGGATGGGACTTGCCACCAGCATCACAGGGAGGACTTGGTCTATTTTCTGGTTGTCGGAGGAACCCTTGGGGATGAGAGGATAGACCTCAGACAGGTTGCCCAAACCATCTCATGGGCACAGCTCAGAGGAATGAAGGACCTGAAGATAGTCACCCTGGGCCCCCAAGGAGGTGAGTGAGGAAGGTCACCGGGGGAGCTGCCCCACGTCTGTCACCAGATTGGGCACATTTCCTGAGCATCGAAGGTAAGGATGCTCTGCAGGGCGTACCAGGGACTCCCAGCCCCCATGTCACTGTCAGGACTGGAAACCTAAAGGTGATTCTGCTGGAGGCGGAAGATGAGACTCACCACTGAATCTTCTTTCTGCTTCAAACCTCTGTCTACTCACACCCCCTCCCCAACCCCCCCAACCCCCACCTCGCCAAGGACTGGAGACAGAGGAAGGCTGAGATTAAGTCTCTGGAGTCAGCAGATCTAGTTAAAATCTCATCTGCATTCAGGGCGCATAACCCTCTCTCTGAGTCTCTGTCCCCTTATCTTAAAAATGGGAATTATGATTATAACACATCATTAGATTATCAGGAGGATCAGATGAGATGATGAAGGGAAAGCTAGCACAGTGTTTGACATATGGTAAGGATGCAGGAGATAATGAAGGTTGTGGAGGGGGGAGGAGGGCATGGGAGGATGGGGTTGAGAAGGAGGAGGCAGGCAGGAGGAAAAAGAGAGAGCCTGGCTGCTGAGAGCAAGTTCAGAACAACAAACAAGAGCATAGCTTCACTGCTAGACAGCCAGGTTCAAATTCAGCTTGGTCACTTACTAGTGGAAATTTCTAAAGCTCCCTAGTGATGCCAATATGCATACAGGGTTGAGAACTTCTGAGTCACACTTTGGCCCAAGAAGTTGAAGGGCCAAAGACTAAACCAGAAGTCACCACTGCGGGCTTCAGGATCATGAATTCCAAGTTAGAGAGACTTGGGTTCTAATTCTGACTCCATTCTTTATCAGCTGTGTGATCTTGAGTAAGCCTCTCAAGTCATTTTCTCAACCACAGATGAGGGAAAACATGGTAACTACTTATTAGGATGGTCTTATCATTTAAAAGAAATAATGTTTGCAAGGCATTAAGCTCAGTGGAGAGTACACTCAAATATTTGTTATTGAGGTACCATACAATTCACTTCTCCCCTGAGCAAAGTTGACAAACATTTACCCTGCTGTTCTAGATTTCTATAAAGGCTTAGATCAGCGATTTCTGACAGTAGCCATGCCTCAGAAACACATGAAGAGCTTTTTATTTTTTTAATTAATTTATTTAATTGGAGGATAATTACTTTACAATATTGTGATGGTTTTTGCCATATATCAACATGAATCAGTTATACATATAATCAGGTATACATGTGTCCCGCCCATCCTGAACCCCCCTCCCACCTCCCTCCCCACCCGATCCCTTTGGGTTGTGCCAGAGAGAGTCCTTATAAACTGGGAATAGAGTTATAGAGCTTTTTAAAATGTGGATTCCCAGGTCTTACCCCAGGACCTTGATAAACCTTGGATGGGGCAAGCCAGCTGTTTTCCAAAAACTCCCTGAGGGGTTGTGATTCGGAGTGAGGACTGAGAACCACCAAGCTCAAGCATCTTCTTGTGACTGGCATCTGAAGTCTATTAGAGAACATAACTCTGCTTCCAGTTGGCTAATCATTCTATCCCCAAGGGTGATGCCATTTCTCAAGGGAAAGAAAGAATGGAGGGAGGGAGGAAAGAAGAGAGGGGGAAAAAGGAAAAAAGGAAGAAGGGAGCAGGGAGGAGAGGGAAGGGAAGCAGGAAGGAAGAAAGGAGGAAAGGAAGAAAGAAAGGCAAACATAAAACAAAGACCTTAGTGAGGTCCTAGGGCTACTGACTGCCTACCTTTGCTCTAAGCATTTGGACTTCAAGTTGAGGGGCAAATTGATGGTGAGTCTAATGAATTACAGCGCCCATCATAACTGAAAAAAAAACCCACAGTCTTTCTCAATTTTGTCTTTTCCTCAGGCAGTATTTCAGTGACAGCAGGCATTTTTAAGATCCAGCCAAGAACCTAAGTTGGAAGATAACGATTGGTTTGGATTTGTTAAGATATGTGAAGATGGGGGAGGAGAGTTGATACTTAGAGCAGAAAGAAGCTGTCCCCACTGAACTAGCTTCCTCACACTCACCCGAGGCCTATTACCTTGGCCCCGGGAAGCTCACCTTAGCTATGATGCGGCACAAGGGAGCCCCCTCCTGGGTGAGGCTGAACAGGTTCCCCGTGGTGGACTCTGTGGTGTAGATATTGTCCGAGGCATCGATTTTTCTCACCAGCGCCTAAGAAACGAGAGCAAAGTCTGATGGTCACTCACTCATCTACCCTCTGTGCATCTTTCTAATGGAATACCAGTAGGTCGACACTCCTAAGAGCCCCCTGAAATCTGTAATCCCACCCCATCTCTACTACCCCACCACAGGGGTGATGAGGTTCTAACTTTGGAAAAGACATGAATCAGGATGAGGTCTGAGCTGTTTGAGAAACAGCCCCATTGGGGCAGAGACAACCAATGCACCCTGCTCCAGTGGATCAGAAAATCAGCTTTCATCACTGATAGTCTCAGCAAGTACCTTTTTGCTATTCTACTGGCTCCTAATGAGAATAGAAACCATTGGTTAAATAAACAAACCATCAAGTTGCAAACCAATGGGTTGCTACACAGTTGGCCAAAGAAGCTGCTCGGTTTGGATGTCGTAAGCTCATGCAAAGTCCAGCTGGATAATGGGTTCAGGGGATGAGTCAAGAGAAGCGTTCTTCCCTGCAGTAGCTTCCTGCTCAGGGGACACTTGCCTTAGGTGGACAGCCAGGCCAACATAGCAACCGGGGGTCCTGTCAAAGAGTGGGTCACTCAGTGAGGAACGCCACTGATGAAGACTGAAGGGTCTAGGGCTGGCGGTGAGAGGGCTGGGAATGACTAAGCACAGGACCCCAGGAGATTCAGAAGAGGAGCAAATGGAAAATTCGTCAACAAATGAGATATGGAGATTATTCCTAGCAGAGTTTAGCTTATTTCTGGGAAAAAGCTTTTCATGTAACCTGAAACCACTTCATAATCAGTCGTTTGTTTTGAAGCATGTGGTTCATCAATTATAAATGACTCTTACCTGCTAATTAATGTTCATTGCTCGAGTTTCTCCTGGGAGGTGTGGAGGCAGAGACTGGGGAGACTTGCCTTTGGGGTCCTCATGCGAGAAAGTAGGGCTTCTGGGAAGCCACTTGTGTGGTTTCAGTTGCTGTGTTAATTTTAAAATGTTGAAATAGACTTGTTTCTAATTAACCCTGGTGTTACAGAAAAGACACATAGGAAACCAGGAGATTCAATTTCCAGTGCCAGCTTGCCTTTTTTAACACACTATGCTGATGAGGAAGTATGTAAAGTATGTAAGGGTTAAAAGCATGGACTCTGGAGTCAAACCGCCTGGGTTCAAATCCTGGCTTTGCCAGTTCTAAGTGCCCTAGAGATAATTCAACCCTTCCACACCTCAGTTTCCTCATGGGTAAGACGGTGGAAATAACAGTGTCTATCTCTTCTGGTGGTTCTACCCATCTCTTACAGTTGCTCATATATATAAAGAACTTACAAAGGTATCTGGCATACAGAAGCAAAATAAAGTCCTTAGCAGTTATTATCTTGTGATATTGGGCAGTTGAGACAAACTACCTAGGCCTCAATTTCCCTATTTGTAAAATTATTTAAATTAAAGGGGTTTGAAGCTCAAGGAAATAGCTCTTCCCTTTTTCTTCTTTATTCAAACTCAGAATTCTTCACACATAGCAATATGCTAATCTTCTGCATACACCAGTCTAAGATTAAGTGTATAATTAATCTATCGACACATTAAACATAAAACTTATTACCTAAGATTGGGTAGATGCCTCTTATAAGATATCTAACAAAAGGTAAAATTAATAACTAGGATTTGCACTGCAAATCTCTGTAGCAAATGTACTTCTTAGACTCATTCCCCATCGTTACCACAAGCAGTTACGTAAGCACTATCAGTGCTAACATGAAAATGCAGATTTCATATATTGGGGTCCTGTACCTAAATCAGAATTACCTAATGTTCCTGATTAGTGTTTGCACTCGAAGTAGATAGCATTACGCTAAATTTATTCAAAACCAATGTCTTTTGCAATCATCTGCTGCTATCAGACCATTTATGTCTGAGGATAATTTCTTACCAACGTCTATAGTCACATATACCATAATTACACCTCAGCTCTCTCAGTGAGTCAGCTCTCTGACAATGAAAAGTTGTGAGCATCCTTTTCACAAGGATAAATTTGGAAAGATAAAAGATCAAAGGCTCCACTGAATCATCAAGGCTCTGAGTATCGAATGTGTCAGAGCTGGAAGGCGTCAGAGCCAGAAGGGCTCTCGAGAGTTTTATGCAAGATTTCCTTCCGAGCTGAGAAAAACTGAGACACAGAAATCAGACCAAGGTTAATTACACATGTGGTACATGATAGAGTTAGGCCTTACCCCCTGTAAATCTGACTTCCTACTTGCCAAAGTCAGTGAATCCATGTCCCCCAGTGCCAGCAGGACCTCCTGGGGACTAGAGGAGATGGAAGTCTCAAGGCAAGGAGAAAATCCAGCCTCAAGAGCAGCTCTCACCAAACCGCAGCATGCTTGCATTAGCACCTACAATGCTCTACCCTGTGACGGCCAGAGCTGCTCCATGCAGCCGGCAGAGCTGACTGAAAGCCCCACCAGCTGCCCTGGTAGACCCACCAGCGTGTTCCTGCAGGGGGCACGCAGCCCCACGAGCTACTCCCAGCTGTGACTCAGCGCAGCAGGCGCCCCACTGCAGACCCGAGACGGCCAGCAGGGAGCTTCACTAACAGGTGACTTTAGCTTGAAAAGCCCATCTCTTCCTACTCCATTTCGTCCATCTCCATTTCCTTTCTCAGCTGTCAGACTTGCAGTTTTTCCACTGCCTCCTCCTGCTTTCTTCCCTTTATCTTTCACAGACGTTTCTTATCAAATCTTATCTTGGTGTCAGTTTCAAACCAACACAGTCTATAAAATCAAGTTTTTTCAAGTAATCCAGGAGGAAAGAGAAAGTGTCAAAAATATGCTTCACCCTCTATCATGAGAAGAGTGGTGCAACAATGAAAACAAGATAAAGAAAGATAAACTGATTAAACTGAATGATAGAATTTTTTTAAGACAGTTTAGGCAGATATGAAACAAAAAGGAAGATCTTGAAGAACAGGAGAAAGATTTTTTTTAAAAAAGGGTTAAGAAAAGCAAAAAAAAAAAACAACCCAAAAAAAAAAGGGAAAAAAGGAGGGGGGGTATTTTTTAATTTTCCATCAGAAAGAGTGACTGCAGTCCAGTGAAATTTATTAGGAGGAGTAAACTCTCAAAAATCAGCCTGGAATAAGTTTCTCAGATGGAGGAAGGAAATACCATGAAGCCTCTTTCAAAGGTTCAGAGACAGACTCCATAGATATAGTTAGGGCAGCCGAGCCGTGCAAAGGGGTGACATAAACGCAAGAAGATTAAAGATGGCCACAAATTCTTTTTCTACTCCTCCTACAGAGAGGTGGGTTCTAATGTCCCTGCCTTTTGAATCTGGGCTGGTCTTGGTAATTTGCTTGACCAACAGGAGGCAGCACTTGGTAGAAGTAACATTTCAGGATTTCCAATGCTAGGTCATCAGAAACCCTGATGATGCCACTCAGGCTTCTTGGAACATTCTTTTCAGAGTCCTAAGCTACCAGGTAAGAAGTTTAATGGGGCTTCCCAGGTGGTAGAGTGGTAAAGAATCTGCCTGCCAATGCAGGAGACATGATTCTGATCCCTGGCTACAGTCCATGGAGTTGCAAAGAGTCAGACTTGACTGAACAACTGATCACACAAGAAGTTTGATAACTCTGAGACCGCCATGCTAGAGATGCTGTGTGCCATGTGTTGGACTCCTGATCAATACTTTCAATTGAGACCAGCTTTTCAACCACCGCCTCCAAAGCACCATATGCATGAGGAACCTTTCTAAGACTCTCTAAACCATTAGCCAGCTGAATATCCCCAAGTAATTACCTCTATCTATGGCACAAGAAGCAGAAAAATTACTCAGCCAAGCTCAAAATTCTTGACCCTTAAAATTGTGAGATGTAAACAAAATTGTTGTTGGGGTTGTTTGTTACATGTTAATAGAGTTCTGGAACACAGGAGAAAAGTACAGACATTAGCACAAAAGAGTCAAAAGATCACGAGATAAATTGCAAGGGAAAATATTTTAAAATAAAGATATAGTACTACTGCCTGTGCCCAAGAGAACATTTTGGAGAAATGCATGAATTAGGACTTGAAGAAAGGCACAGAAAGATTGGACATGCTAAACAGGAGACAAGGGAAATAATAACTGAACTCAGGCTTGGATTAGCTAGTGGTCTACTGGGAAAATATCTCCTGGCTGTAAATATCCAGTTTAGAGAGACAAAAATGGATAAGATCACTTAGAACCAGAGGTCTGGGGCAGACCCAGACCTTAACTGATTTTATTTCTCACAATAAGGGAAATCCTAAAATCTAAAAGAATATTTTTAGAAAACAAAAGAGTGTGCCAGAAAGGAAAGAGAAGTGAAAGTGGGAAGGCTGCTCAGATCCAGCAAATAGGGCTCATTCTATGAATTAAGTTAGGAGAGAGACCCAGGGCAAATAAGAGCAGTGCAAATGGTAAGAAAATCACTGAGTCTTCCTGAAATGAGTGGGGGATTAACAGAGGAGAGAGAAAACTGCAGACATAATTCATTACTGGGGGGAGAAAAATAAAGATGTAGCAGAAAAACATTATTTAAGACTAAAATATTCAAAAGCTTTGGGAAGTCAATGTTCTGAGAAGCAAATGGCGGAAGGAAGCTTCTCACTAGGCCCATAGGCACCAGACTTCAGGAGCATCACAAGAAAACCCTTCCAAGATGACAGGGTCTTAAGGCCAAAGTGATTCTTAGCAAGAGGCAGAGACAATGGCCATCGTATTATAGAACTAGGGTGTCTGTATATCCTATGTCAATTTTTTTTTTCTCATTTAGCCCTAAAAGAATTTTTTAAAATATATGTCCCCTGTAAATTTTTAATTTGACAGGTAAGTTTTTCATCATAACTTTCAAGAACAAATTTGGAAATGATGTGATTTCCAGCAGACTATAAATAGTGACATAAAGCAAAATGATTGCATTACTCTTTTAGATGTATTCCATGAAATCGATATACCAAAATTTGATACTATCATCATGTTTAAAAATACATGAGTAATCTCTTTAA